AACAAGGATGGCAGCGGGGGGGTGGGGGGCAGGTTTGGGGGGAGGGCAGAGAGGCCGAGAGAGGCTGGAGGACCCTTTGGCGGGCTCTCCTATGTCTGTCTTGGGGTCGCCTTGCAGCTTGGAATCCCCCATTCCTTCGTGATGGTCAGCTACCAGCACAAGTTCCAGGACGAGGACCAGACGCGGGTGAAAGGATCCCTCAAGTAAGCCTTGGAAGGGGCCGCCGTGGGTGAGGCGGGCAGAGGGCTCCGGGAAGGCAGTTGTGGACAAGGGATCCCAGCTCCTTGGAGAGTTGGCCCGGGCAGGATGGGGGACCCGGGGGGGGAGCCTGACCCAGCGGCCCTGGGACTCTTGACCCTCCTCCTGCCAGAGGGGACCCCAGCAGACGCTGGGGTGGGATTGTAGGGTGAGTTCAGGAAGGAAAAGGCCCTCGACCTGGCTCCAGAGGGGCAACCCGTCATGGCCCCCAAACCGTCTCCCTCCAGGGCTGGCCTTTTTGGGACCATTGTGGAATACGGGGCCGAGCGGAAGATCTCCCGCCACAGCGTCCTCGGAGCCACCGTCAGCGTGGGCGTCCCCCAGGGAGTGTCCCTGAAGATCAGGTGAGCAGGACCGTCCTCCCTCATTGGTTTTGCTGGAGGCCCGGGGGGGATGATGGAAATCCCTCTCTCCCCCCCCCCGGCGTTTGTGACAGGCGCTCAGTCCCCAAAGCCTTCCAGCCCTTTCCCTTCTCCTCCTGCTTGAAACGCGTGAGCGGTAGCAAGAGTGAGAAGACAAGGCAGGGGCCTTAGGAACTGGGCCAGCTGGTCATGACTGGTGAAGCCAGTAGGGAAGCCGCTTGCCCAGACCCGCTTTGGGACGGTTTTGCTTGGGGGAAGAGGTCTCCTGCTTCGTGGTAGTGCTGGATGGTGGCAGAGGCCAGCTCAGAGGATGAGATTCCTGGGGCTGCTTTTTCTTTGGGGGGAGGGAGGGGGCAGCCACCCAGTATAGCTTTCCCTCTCTTGCTGTCCCTGACATCTGGATGGGAACACACTGACGTGCAAGTTCAGGCTGTGCCAGCAGAGGGCACTGCGGCACCACGGACCTGGCCAGAGGGAGTGACGGTGATGCTCAGACTTCCAAGCTGTAGCCCTGCATGGAATCCTGGGAACTGTAGTTCTTTTTTGCAGGGGGGACTTGGCATTCCCTGCTCATCGTAATACCTTTTGACTTGGGACCTTCTGGATCATCCAGGCCAGACCCTGTCAAGGAGGGCCAGTGGGGGGGGGATCGAATTCCCCACCTCTGGCTCCACAGCCAGAGGCCTCAACCCCTGAGCCATGCAGAAGTTCCTGTGCTTCCCCCTGGGATACAGGAGAGAATCCCGCACTTCTTCCCAAACTTGAAATCCCGGGACAGCAGGGGAAGGAGTCCCGGCCGTTCAAATAGGGCCAAACTGCGATGTAGCCGAGAGGCACTCTCAGTTTCTCTCCCCCCCTCCTGCCCCCACCATCAGCACCATCCTCTTTACAAGCACATCCGTTGCCTCGGGTAACGAATGGCCCTTGAAGGATTCAGGGAATGGGTCTGTGGGGGCCAGCGCCAGGTTTCCCTTGGTGGGTTGCAGGTTTTCCTGCTCGGTTAGATCTCCCCTGCATCTCTAGGCCTGGAGCGTCTTCTCGGGGTCTCCAACTTTCCCTCCTGTTAGGTTTTTCTGCCCTAGTGTGTTTTGCATACAGGAGAGAGAGAGAGTGTTTTCATCCACGCATCCATCCATGCCCTGACCAACAGCTTTCCCTGGTCTTCCTTTCTCTCTCTCTCCCTCCTGTGCCCTCTTCCAGGCTGAACCGAGCCAGCCAGACCTACTCCTTCCCCATCCATTTGACGGACCAGCTGCTCCCCAGCGCCATCTTCTACGCCACGGCCGGGCCCCTGGTTATCTATTTCGCCATGAACCGGCTCATCATCAGGCCCTATCTCCAGGCGCAGAAAGAGAAGTGAGTTGACCCCACAGAGGAAAATATCAGCCGGAGCCAGGAAGGGGGGGGCATGAGACGAGATGTTCAGGGCAGGGATCAAGGGGTGACCCCCCCAAAAAAGGAAGCTCAACCTCCATCTGGACTCTGTGTGGGTCACTTCTAGGGGTGAGGGTGGCGGCAGCAGCAAGCGAGATCTGTGGCCTTTTTGGAAAGGACGAGGCTCGGCTTGCCAGGTCCTTGGGTTGAAAAAAAAAATGGAGGAGCAGGAAAAATGAAGCCCGACACTCTCTTGAGTCGTGTGCCTAGCGGGGAGGGAAAGGGCCCCTTGCCCCCTCCCACTGTGGGGCACCATCCAACGCTGGCAAGGTCTCTTGCCCCATCATCACCCCCAGGAACATGGTGGAAACTCTCCTTCCTAGGAGGTTGGGGGGGCAGTTTTTTGGTGGTCCCAGACAGGAGCTTTTCCCTGAAGCAGGCTGGGTGTGGATCACCCCCATCTCCCTGCCTGGGCCCTGCTGACTTTAACAGAACTCTCCTCCAGAAAGGGGGGGTTGCGGGAAAACCAGGGGGGGGCAACTATTTAGTTGTCACCTTGTCCTTTTCCTGTCAGAGAGTTGGAGAAGCAACGAGAGGGCAGCGCCAGCGAGATTTTGCAGAAGAAGCAAGAGGCAGAAGCTGCCGTGAGTTTTGCTCTCTCCCCGCGCCCTCCCTCTCTCTGTCCCCCGTCTTCCATTCCAGTGCTGCTGTGGCTTATCTTGCCATGGTGGGTGGGAACCCAGAGACCCTCCCCCCTAAGAACAGCTGATCATCCTGCGTGGGCGCTTTGAGCAGAATTGGCAGGTGACTGGACATGGGAGTCGCTCTCTGGAGTTCCACCTTCCAGCAGGAGGGAAAGGGCAGGTGTAGGGAAAAACCCCGGCAGGGTATAAGGCTGAAACTGGGTCCATCAGGCAAACAAAAGCCCCTCTCTCTCTCTCCCTCTACCTCTGGGTGTGGGTGTGGGTGTGTGGGGGGGTGGTAATACAAGCAAACCTCTTGGTTTTGTTGTTAGTCTGTGAGTTGACACACACCCCGCAAAGCTATCTTGATGTGCTTTAGCCGCCCCTGGCAATAGCAAAGGATCCTGGGAGAGGCAGTTCAGAACCCCAACCCTTTCTCTGTTTTTAGCTTAAGCCCTTAAGGAAATCTCCCTGCCATTCTAGCATGAAGGCTTTGTGCAGGTCTTTTTTGTCTTTCTCCCAAAGCCCTTCCGGCTTATCCTCGGAAAGGTATCTGTAAAGGCTGCACGAGGGGCCCTGGTTGGGATGCTTTACTGTTCCCCTCTTGCTCGTTGCAGGAGGAGGATTTTCATGGAGGCTGCACAGGCATCATGGCATGCCTTGCCAGGCCTTCCGCCTCCTCCTCCTCCTCTTTTGCTATGGGGACCTGTTTCTTCTCCCTTGTGCCGCAGCATCTTGTGACGCTGAATCCTCTTTGCTCCCCCCTTCCGTAGGTGCGGCTGATGCAAGAATCGGTCCGGAGGATCGTTGAGGCCGAAGAAGCCAGGATGGGTAAGGCTTCCTCTTTCCTGGTTCCTCCGTGCCCGGCCGGTGGGTGAAGGAGTTGATGGCAGAGGTCTCGGGCAGTCCTTTGAGGCCGCTGACCACTCACTGGGATGAGCCTGGTGGAAGAGGAAACCCACAGGAAAGCTTGCCTGAGAGATTCCAGATGCTCCTGATGCTGAGGCCTCGAGCCCAGGCATCATGGCCTGCCTTGCCAGGCCTTCCACCTCCTCCTCCTCCTCTTCTTTTGCTGTGGGGACCTGTTTCTTCTCCCTTGTGCCGCAGCATCTTGTGACGCTGAATCCTCTTTGCGCCCCCCTTCCGTAGGTGCGGCTGATGCAAGAATCGGTCCGGAGGATCGTTGAGGCCGAAGAAGCCAGGATGGGTAAGGCTTCCTCTTTCCTGGTTCCTCCGTGCCCGGCCGGTGGGTGAAGGAGTTGATGGCAGAGGTCTCGGGCAGTCCTTTGAGGCCGCTGACCACTCACTGGGATGAGCCTGGTGGAAGAGGAAACCCACAGGAAAGCTTGCCTGAGAGGTTCCAGATGTTTCTGATGCTGAGGCCTCGCTAAGGGGACCTCTGGCCTCTCGGAGGCACGAGTGCTTAAAAAAAATCACGATGCAGCGTCAGCCGTTGAGCCACAAGGGGGTGCGCGTTGCTTAGAAGGGGTGGAGGTGTCGCTTAGGGGCCTGGCGGAAGACGCTTGCCAAAAACCTCAGGTTCGGTCGCTGGCCGTAACCGGAGGAAGTCTTTCCTGCCAGGCCGCATGAGCAGGGCTGAATCAGGCAGGCCGAGGGGCTGAGCCGGGGCACAGCACTTGGCGGGGGATCCACGTTGGCTCAGAAACTCCGGGGGTGGGGGTGGGAGAAACGGGGGGCAGCATCTGGAGGGCTGGGTTTCTCGCCCCTGAGGTTGCAGAAAAATAAGTGGAATCTTGAAGAGGGGGAGGAAGGAAGAAGCCGCTGGTTTTCAAGGGGGCAGAGGCCAGCACACAACTCCCTGCGGTAACCATTCTCCGCCCTGATCGTGAGCGGGACGATTTGTCCAGAGCCTAATTGAATTGCTCAGCTTTTCTTTTCCCTGGAGTGGCCGTTCTGCATTTGGGAGTTGCACTTCCTGAGCAACTTCAGCCTGGACGCAGAGGATCCTGCGAGGGCCGGCGCTTCCTCGGCCCAAAGGCCCGGACCCCCTCCTTGCCCCCCCCCCCAGTAGCCCTGCCCTGTGGCTATCAAGCCCGTCCTTCCCTCCCTGCAGGCTTGATCGTGGTGAACGCCTGGTACGGGAAGTTTGTCAACGACCAGAGCCGGAAGAACGAGAAGGTCAAGGTCATCGATGTGACGGTGCCCTTGCAGTGCCTGGTCAAGGACTCCAAGCTCATCCTCACAGAAGCGTCCAAGGTAAGGTGGGGGCCGTTTGCGAGAGACTCCTTCGGTTTTCGGTGAGGTTGCAGGATGGCCACAGAGGGCTGCAACCTTGCAGGGCCGGGGTTTCTTCCTCCCGCAGCTTGTCATAGGGCACCGATTTATTTTTAATTAAATATTTCTCATCTGCCATGTCGCAGGAGATCTCACAGAATGGGATGGTCAGCAAAATGAATCTTACAGGGAGCAATCACAAATGCAGAACATAATTTAAAACCCTTTAAAAATTCAAGGGAAACTGGTTAATAGAAGCCAATAAAGGGAAAGATTTGGAGAACCCAGCGTCCTCCTGCTAAATGCTGAAGGCTTGGGGGGAAGAGCCAGATTTTAACCCCTTGAAAGGTAGGGACGGCCCCAGTCGGGCCTCCAAGGGGGAGGACGCTGCAAGGCCCAAAAGCTGGGGGGTGGGTGGGAGAAAGAGGGGACCCCTCCCGCCTGCAAGTCTTGAATCCTCAGGTGGATGTGAATGGGGAGAGGCTGCATCTACGTGTGTGCATGCGCATACATGTGGGAGGGCGCATGGCTTTTGCTCTGGCCGCACTTTTCATTTGCCGTCTCCCCTGCCCCGTCGGTTCCCCTTCCAGGCTGGCCTGCCTGGCTTCTACGATCCCTGCGTGGGTGAGGAGAAGAGCCTCAAAGTCCTCTACCAGTTCCGCGGCGTTCTGCACCAAGTAATGGCCTCGGACAACGAGGCTGCGAGAGACTCCTTCGGTTTTCTGGGAGGTTGCAGGATGGCCACACAGGGCTGCAACCTTGCAGGGCTGGGGTTTCCTCCCGCAGCTAGTCAGAGGACACCAATTTATTTTTAATTAAATATTTCTCATCTGCCATGTCGCAGGAGATCTCACAGAATGGGATGGTCAGTAAAATGAATCTTACAGGGAGCAATCACAAATGCAGAACATAATTTAAAACCCTTTTAAAAATCAGGGGAAACTGGTTAATAGAAGCCAATAAAGGGAAAGATTTGGAGAACCCAGGGTCCTCCTGCTAAATGCCGAAGGCTTGGGGGGAAGAGCCAGATTTTAACCCCTTGAAAGGTAGGGACGGCCCCAGTCGGGCCTCCAAGGGGGAGGACGCTGCAAGGCCCAAGAGCTGGGGGGTGGGTGGGAGAAAGAGGGGACCCCTCCCGCCTGCAAGTCTTGAATCCTCAGGTGGATGTGAATGGGGAGAGGCTGCATCTACGTGTGTGCATGCGCATACATGTGGGAGGGCGCATGCTTTTGCTCTGGCCGCACTTTTCATTTGCCGTCTCCCCCGCCCCGTCGGTTCCCCTTCCAGGCTGGCCTGCCTGGCTTCTACGATCCCTGTGTGGGTGAGGAGAAGAGCCTCAAAGTCCTCTACCAGTTCCGCGGCGTTCTGCACCAAGTAATGGCCTCGGACAACGAGGCCCTTCGGATACCAAAGCAATGTGAGTCAAGCCCCAATCCGGGGGAGGGAGGGAGGGAGAGAGAGAGCTCAACCCCTCTGAGCAGGTAGCTCTTCCTTCTTTCGGCAGCCATGTCCCTCTGGCACAGGCGCCCCATCTGCCCCATGTCTTCCAGAAAGGGTATTGTGAGTGCCACTAGGCAAGCCAGCAGAGCCTTTGGGGGGGGTTGTCTCCCATGAGTACCCTATTTTTCTGTGTATAAGACACCCCATGTATAAGACGCCCCCCACTTTTCTAATCCAAAATTAAATCTAAGTGGGGCTTAGCAAATGTAGGGAGAAAGGGATCAAAGCGCTGCAGAATCACTTTGATCCCTGCTTTCCCCTCCACTTGTTTTTGTTCTCTCCTCAGCTTACTTCTGTGTATAAGATGGCTCTCAGTTTTTAGCTTAAAGATTTTAGTCCAAAGTATAGTCTTATACATGGAAAAATACGGTATATCCATCCATCCACTCCCAGCTGCTGGGGAAGGCAGCTCGCTCTTGAACTGGGTGCTCTGCCCTGTGGTGCCCCGTCACTGCCCTCCTGTGTCTCCGGTTTGGCCTGCCCTCGTCTGCCGGAAGTGGGTCAACAGTGTCCTGGTCTCCCTTCCCGTCTCCTTGTCCAAAGTATAGTCTTATACATGGAAAAATACGGTATATCCATCCATCCACTCCCAGCTGCTGGGGAAGGCAGCTCGCTCTTGAACTGGGTGCTCTGCCCTGTGGTGCCCCGTCACTGCCCTCCTGTGTCTCCGGTTTGGCCTGCCCTCGTCTGCCGGAAGTGGGTCAACAGTGTCCTGGTCTCCCTTCCCGTCTCCTTGCGACCCACAAAGGCAGCTTGTTCTTGAACTGGGTGCTCTGCACTGCGGTGCCCCGTCACTGCCCTCCCGCAACTCCGGTTTGGCCTGCCCTCGTCCCCCAGAAGTGGATCAACAGTGTCCTGGTCTCCCTTCCCATCTCCTTGTGACCCACAAGCCCCTGTTCAGGGCCGGGCTTGGCCCTTTCAGGGAGGGCGGGTCGAGGCATGTGTCGGGCGTCCATCCGCTGTCCTCCTGCGTTTCAACTAGCCCTCTCCTTCCCTTGCGCCAACACCACCAGCGAGGTCTTCTGGAGCACTTGAGGGTCTGACATGTAACATGGGGGGCTTGGAAGGAAGCAGGGAAGAGTACTTCAAGATGGGCTTTGGGAACACCCCTCCTTGGAGTTGCAACCTTTTCTTCAGATAAATGGTCCTCCTCATCTCTGCCTCTCTAAAGCCTGTCCTCCCTGCTCTCCCCCCCTCCCCCGACAGCTCACCGGATTGACACGGACAGCTAATCCAGAGAGAGGGAGGGCGTCCGGTGTGGGGTTCCGTGCCCGGCTTGATTCACTGGAAGGGCACCCCCTTTCCCTCCTCCGGATTCGATACGTCTTCAAACCGACGGAGACACCGCTTGTTTTTATGATCTGCATCGAAGGTGGTTTTACACCAATCCTGTTGTGGGACAAAATGAGAGAAAAACGGCTTTGACAGAAGAGTTGGCCCCCCGGGGCGCGGCAGGTGCATGCTCTGCTGGCATTTCCTGCAGGGGAGCAGGGTTGGCTCGGTGCTTCCCCCCCCTCCACCAGGAGGAAAAAACCCCCTCCCCTGGAGGTGCTTGCAGGGCAGGAAGGGAAGGCCTGGGCCAGAAGGTGTGTTGTTTCTTACTCCCGCAGAGTGGGGCTTCTTCGGCCCCAGAAGGCTGCGGCCAAAGAGGGAATGCCACTCGGCCGGCACTCCGTGATGCCACCGGTGTGCTGGTGCCCTTGAAGAATCTGTGCGTGCATTTTATTTTGCCGGTGGACCCCCCTCCCCTCCTTCCCAGCCATCATCTCTCTCCGGCGGCTGCTGGATGCCCTGCCTTGACTACAAAATCTGTCTGCATCCAAGGAGCGAACGGGAGAGGCCGTAGCGGGGAAGTCAGCAGGATGAAACCCAGAGTGCCAAACCAGAAGGACTCCTCCTTCTTCTGCCCCTTTGAGGGGACAGAGAGGGGCTTTGTGTTGGTATTATTATCCTTCTTTCCCAACAAGGAGAGCAGCCACAAGAGCACTAGCCGGGCGAAAGGAAGGCCACTTCTGAGCTGCTGTCCCTCGGCTGTCGCGGAGGGAGGTCTATGCAAAAAGAAGTCTCGGCTCAACAAGGGGCTGTGGGTTGCAGCCTCCTTGGATTTTAGGTGCAATCCCTAGGCTTTAAGGTGTGGGGCGGGGCGGGAGGGTGTCGTTTGAACCAAGGCAAACAGCCCCCTCTTCTTTTATCTCAATGCTGCTGTCTTCCTTTTGGGGGATCCAGTTTGTATTACTCAATACACAAACACACACACACACATACACACACAAACACACACCCCACTGGCATTCATTAGTCCTCACCCTGTACAAAATATGGCAGAGGCCACGAATCTGGGCTCTCACCGGCTGCATCTCAATTCTCTCTGGAATCAAGTGCTCTTCCTCACCTTTTTGGTCAGACCGACCCTTCCTTCTCACACGGAACCAAACCACGTCCAGGTCCTGTCCGTTTCCTTAGCTGTTTCCCATGGACACCCCACGCCCCATTCCTTGTTCCTCATGAGGATGGCTCCCCATCTCCTTGAAAGCGGATGGAATAAGAACGGAACGGTGGGCATCAGGCGGCTAACGGTCCTCTCTCTTGAAAAGCGACAAGCCCCAGTTTTAACCAGCGGGGACGCCCTTCAGGAGCCACTGTCAAGCGACCAGGCCTGTGCTAGCGGTGATGGTGGAATGGCCTGCAGGCTCCTTCCAGAAACTGACCGCTCGATTCTTCCACGCTTGCACCCAGCTCAGTATGAGCCGAGCCCTCCTGCTGGCCTCTCCTTTCCTCTCGCCTTGCCTGCCTTGCGATCAGGAACCTCTTGCAACATGCCTATGAGCCACGGAGGAGGAGGAGGAGGAGGATGCGGTGGTGGTGCTGGGATCCCCAGGTTTCTCCTGTAACAAATAAGGACAATAAAGTGACCCACTGTCATTGAAGCGTGAATGGCATTATATATGTAAGCATCGAGCGCACACACACCCCTCCCCTGCCAGGAGGGGACTCTCCATCACTCGTCTTCACAATGGCTGGGATGGAGTGCAAAGTGCTATACAAGGGGCCAGACCTCGGGGGTTTCCCCTCCATCCAGAGCCACTCCCACTGATCCTTCAGCCGGTGGAACTGAAGTGAAGCAATCGCCATTTTTCATTTCATTGTGATAGGCTTTCACGGACAACTAGATAGAAAGGGAGACCCGAGGCCTTAAGCCACGGTTCATGTTAGAAACTGGGATTTCTTTTTTACTCCGTACATGACGAAGTAAGTTCCTTGGCATTTCAGTTAAGCCTTCCCCGGGACTGTGAAGGGAAATCCAAGTGTAAAGACCCAAGAGAAGGGTTGACGTGGAAGAGCCAGCAAACAGGTTTTGATAACAGACTGTAATAAGACAGTCCTATGGCTCAGACCTTTAGGCAGTGTTGGGAAAAGCAAACCCCATTTAACCCAAACCGCACAAAATGACCGATTCCACCTTATTTGACAGCTCGTCTCCAGGAAACGCTGGTCTCCCTTCCCTGACAGACATGTAGGGTTGAGGTCATGTAAGTAAACAAAGAACTTTTACAACAGCTGTGCAGTTAGGAGCTGTTTAAGTCTCTGGCTGCGGGGTCAGAGATTGGGTGTTGGATGCCCCACAGTGCCTCCTGCAAGTAGAACTGGCCTTTATAACCTGCGCCATACCATTGCGGCCCCCAGAAGAAGACAGAACTGGCATGACAGCACACAGTTACTATTATACACATGGTGTGGAGCACGGTAAGATCGGCCAGCAAGAGAGATCATACTTGGCGATGTTCTTGAGAGTGCTCCGTAGTCTTTGGTGTGAGACGGTGGGTGTGATGAACTAAGCAGGTGTGGTGTGTGTGACTGTCATTTTGGAAAAAAACATTTCCTCCCATATAGCTTCAAGGCCCTTGCAACTCTTCCACCCATGGACAGATGTGCCATCAAAGGCCATTATCTTGGCTCCTGCTGTTGGTGGCTGCTCTAATTTATTTTGTACCCCAGCCATGCCCCGGCTCACCTTTCCCTTGCAAGCTTGACATTTAGAAACGGTACCAAATCTGTCTTCGGTGTTACCTCCCGCTTCCGGGCCTTTAATGGCAAGTGAGCCGATTCTGTGACTTTCAAAGATGGGCAGATTAGAAAAGAATAAGATGATGTCCATTTCTTTGCTCATCAGCCAGGGTGACAGTGTTGCTGGTTCCCAAAATCCTAAGCAACTCGAAGCCAGGTTCTCCCTTGCAGACCCGGCTGGTTCTTGAAGTCGTGTAGGGGGAGATACGGACCCCTCTGGAGGGGCCACGCATTCCTGGGGTCTTCCCCCCCCCTCGGCACACTGCGGGAGAGACCGCAAGGTTTGGTCACGGCCAGAGGGTTGGAGGGACAGCAGCAAAAGGCTTCATCGGTGCGACTTCAGCCTGTGATGCCGTGGGTCAGGCGGAAACGTGTCGCCTCCTGCGACCTCCACTGCTGGGCTGCGCTTTGCTGGCGACCACCTCCCAAGTGGCCAACCTTGCAGGGCGTTTTCCCGGCTGCGCCCACGTGAGATTTTTTTTTTTTTGCTTTAGCCCCAAGAGCGGCGGGGAAGGGAGGGCTCCTTTTGCTTTCTCTTGAACACTTCGGGTTTCGCATCCATCCGCGCGTCCTTCCCCGCACACATTGGAGGGAAAGTGTGGCTGTCGCCAACGTCCCGGAAGTGTGAGCCGTACAGAACGCTTCGGTTTGTCTATCTCTTTGGAAGCAAGGCAGGAACCCGGGCAAAGGGTAGCCAAGGCGCGGTTGTGGACGCAGCTTTCTTCCGGCTCCCATGCGAAGGCCGCCACGTGGAGGATGGAGCCCCTTTAGTTTGGCACGGCAAGACGGGCGGCGCCCCTTTTCTTTTGTACCCGTCGCTTGGGAACCTCCGTTGTAGGGCCTTGGCTGGCACCCTCCAAATTGCCCAGCCTAATGGTCGCCGCTGCTTCTGCCCGCCTGGCTGGGAAACCCTGGACCGTGCCCACAACAAAGATGTCGGCACTAGAAGGGCTATGCGGCCCTCAACCGGAAGTGGAGGCGTTCGCCCCCCCACCGGAAGTTGCGAGGGGGCATTCTGTGCAAAAGCAAGGGCATCTATTTCGTGCATTCAATTACGTTTCCCTCTCCGGTGCTCAAGTGAATTTAGCAGTGACGGTATTCAACGAAATGCAATGGAATTAGAGGGGGGGGGGAAACTAGCAGGACAGAGCTGGGGTTGCTTTGAGGCAGGGTGGCACTCTGCACATGCTCCAGAGTCCTGTTGCCATCGCCGTTGGGCAGCCAGAGGAGCGCCTCCATCTTTGAAGGGCCAAGATCCCGGGGGGGGGGCTTGATCCCCGGGTGAGTCCCTCAAGGTTCAAGGCAAAGGATATGCCATTTTCATCATTCATTGTGAAGGTGTTGGCATGAAGCTGGACTTGGAAAATGAAGGGATTGTGTTCTGCTTTTGATGGAGGGGTGAGGGCCATTTATTTCACACATGGTGCCCTGCGTAGGACCTCGGTGCCGTTTTCGCAGCGCGCGTGTTTCACCTCTTTCGGTGCCTTGTTGTGGTTTCTTGCCTCTCCTCGGAAGAGCCAGGATGGTTGCTGCGCTTGTACAAGGCACACCCGCAAAGCCGTCTCCTAGGCTGCACCTCCATATATTTCTTTTTTAAAAAATCTAGATTGCAAGACAATAGCCCTCGGTTCATAAAGCAAATAATTTTAATTTAGAAAATTAAAAGTTTCCAAACTGAGACGGTACACAGATGGACACTGAGACATGCCAACCTTTATGCTGAAAACCCAGTCAGTTTGGCTTATCAGACAAGCCCACCCACCCCCCACCTGCTGTGGCAAGACAAGAGAGAACAAAAAAAAAAACACGAGAATAATAGAAATCCAGTCCTGGGGCTGGTTCCCTGAATCAGCCAGGAGGAGCCTTTTGTTCAGGTGTTTTGTCTTCCCAAAGACACAAGGAAGAAGCCACTGCCCCCCCACCCCCAAGATAAAAACCTGAGATCCCAGCCAAGATTGTCTGCACCTCTCCCTCCTCAGTAGCCACGTAGAGGGGCTTTTTTTCCTCTCCGGCCAATGGTTTCGCCAGACGGGATCCAGATTCCCTCAAACCAGAACTGAGAAACCGGCACCCAGGCGACGTGTCGAAGGATGACTTCAGAGTGTAAACAGAAAGCCACAATAAAGGTAACGTGTGCCCTATCTAAGCTACGGATAAGTGATTAGAAGAGTCTCGGTAGAGTGGTGGTGGTGGGAGTTCTTTCCCCCCTTCTCCATCCTGTACCCTCTTCTGCTCAGGTCCAGCTGGTGAGGTCCTCTACGGTCTCGCCTCACCCCATCCATCAGGCACGCCTGTCCCACGGGGGCTTCGACGAGGAGATAAAAGGTGTTGCAGCTCCTTCCCGGTGGGGGACCCGGTGGCTCCCCCCACTTCCCCTTCCTCCGCGGCTGCTCCTCACCTTCCAGTCTGGCACTCGTGTGTCCTTGAAGCCACTGGCGGTGTGTCTCTCAAGAACCGGGCCTTCACTCTGAGCAGCTTTGCCCACCCTTTGGCTATTCCCCATTCCCGGGGAAAAGCTTCAGCTTTCTTCCCTCACTGCCGCCCCTCAAAATGGCTTCTCCACCAGGGTCCGCAGTTGTTGTCAACAATCCGTTCCTGCTGCTTCCTAGCCTATGTCCTGCCTTGACTGGGAGGGGCTCCGATTTTGGGCGCACCCCGATCGGCTCAAGCGGAGAGCTTTTTGCATCTTTCCAAGCCAGTCCACCACAGAAGGCAACCTCAGGCTTTAGAGACCAAGACCCAGAGATTGCTCGAGGGAGAGAGTATGGCTGCCCAGTCCAGGAGGGAAAAGATCTGCCTGTTGCCACCACCATCACCACCGCCAGACGGGACCTTCTCCCCCCCCACCCCGGTGCCTCAGAGAAACTCCTTGCCTCCCATTACCATCGGTGGGAACCGCTGGCTCCTATCCCGGACGAGATGTCCCTCCAACCCTGTCAGCCAGCTCAACTCATCCCCGCTTTCACACTCAAACCAGGGAGAAGGGAGACAGAGTGAGGATCAGAGGGGAGTCCTGTCTTTCCAGATCTCCCGAGCGCCTCCAGGCCTGAGCAACCCCCTAGGCCGAGAGGAAGAACATGTGCTCGGCAGGCGGCAGGTTTCTCCCTACCCCCCACCTGCAGCACCCTCCCTCCCCCCCTCCCCGGCTTCAAACGCCCAGTCTGTTGGCGTCACCCATGCTCAAGAGGAGGTCCCGCCCGCTAGTCCAGGAAGCGTCGGCGTGAGCCCATCCGGGACCGGCTGGAGCGCCGGATGTCGAACTTGGAGTCCCGGCACTTCTGGCAGATGTAGACCTCGGGGACGTTGGACTTGCGGATCTTGGCGCAGGAGAGGTGGATCCAGGTGTGGCACTCGTTGCATTCGATCATGGGCCGCCCGGCAAAGGGCTTCATGCAGAAGCAGGTCACCAGGTCCCAGGAGTCGTCATCTGGGGGAGGGAGAGGGACCCGTCAGCTGGCACTCGAGGCTGCCCACTGGAGAAGCCCTTCCTCTCGAGTGGCCCCTGCGCCCCGCCCACCCTTCCCACCTCCACCTGCCATCACAGGAAGGCAGGAATGAACACATTGACAGTGGTGTCCAACCTTGGCCCTCCAGATGTTCCTGGACTTCAACTCCCAGAAATCCTGGCCAGCAGAGGTGGTAGTGAAGGCTTCTGGGAGTTGCAGTCCAAGAACATCTGAAGGCCCAAGGTTGGAGACCACTGCC